CTCCCCCAGTGATCAGTCTGCTGTCGGCAGGCGGAAGCATTTCCTCAGTCTCCCCTCCCCCAGTGATTAGACTTCTGCAGACAGGAGGAAGCAATCTCCCCTCCCCCAGTGATCAGTCTGCTGCAGACAGGAGGAAGCATTTCCTCAGTCTCCCCTCCCCCAGTGATTAGTCTTCTGCAGACAGGAGGAAGCATTTCCTCAGTCTTCCCTCCCCCCAGTGATCAGTCCGCTGCAGGCAGGAGGAAGCATTTCCTCAGTCTCCCCTCCCCCCAGTGATCACTCCGCTGCAGGCAGGAGGAAGCATTTCCTCAGTCTCCCCTCCACCCAGTGATCACTCCGCTGCAGGCAGGAGGAAGCACAACCACTGGGCAATCAATTAATTGGAATTAAAAAAAGAGACTGGGTGCTCTTCTCACAATGAACAATATTTACAGTTATTCCGACAAAAGGATAACATGGGAACTGATCCCGGTAATTGATCAGACTGATAATGGCGATGGTGATATTGATGGTCATGATGATGATGGTGATGATGATGATAATAATGGTGATGATGATGATAATAATGGTGATGATTCTGATGGTTATGATGATGATGATGAGGGTTATGATGGTGATGATGATGATGGGGAGTGATGATGATGATGGTGGGGAGTGATGATGATGATGGTGATGATGATGGTGGGGAGTGATGATGATGATGGTGATGATGATGGTGGGGAGTGATGGTGGTGATGATGATGGTGGGGAGTGATGGTGGTGATGATGATGGTGGGGAGTGATGGTGATGATGGTGATGATGATGGTGGGGAGTGATGATGGTGATGATGATGGTGGGGAGTGATGATGGTGATGATGATGGTGGGGAGTGATGATGATGATGGGGAGTGATGATGGTGATGATGGTGATGATGATGATGGTGGGGTGTGATGATGATGATGGTGATGATGGGGAGTGATGATGGTGATGATGGTGGGGAGTGATGAGGATGATGGTGATGATGATGGTGGGGAGTGGTGATGGTGATGATGATGGTGGGGAGTGATGGTGATGATGATGGTGGGGAGTGATGGTGATGATGATGGGGAGTGATGATGATGATGATGGTGGGGAGTGATGATGATGAGGGTTATGATGGTGATGATGGTGGTGGGGAGTGATGATGATGATGGTGGGGAGTGATGATGATGGGGAGTGATGATGATGGTGATGATGGGGAGTGATGATGATGATGGTGATGATGATGGTGGGGAGTGATGGTGATGATGGTGATGATGGTGATGATGATGGGGAGTGATGATGATGATGGTGGGGAGTGATGATGATGATGGTGAGGGTTATGATGATGATGATGGTGAGGGTTATGATGGTGATGGGGAGTGATGATGATGATGGTGAGGGTTATGATGATGATGATGGTGAGGGTTATGATGGTGATGGGGAGTGATGATGATGATGGTGAGGGTTATGATGATGATGATGGTGAGGGTTATGATGGTGATGGGGAGTGATGATGATGATGGTGAGGGTTATGATGATGATGATGGTGAGGGTTATGATGGTGATGGGGAGTGATGATGATGATGGTGAGGGTTATGATGATGATGATGGTGAGGGTTATGATGGTGATGGGGAGTGATGATGATGATGGTGAGGGTTATGATGATGATGATGGTGAGGGTTATGATGGTGATGGGGAGTGATGATGATGATGGTGAGGGTTATGATGATGATGATGGTGAGGGTTATGATGGTGATGGGGAGTGATGATGATGATGGTGAGGGTTATGATGATGATGATGGTGAGGGTTATGATGGTGATGGGGAGTGATGATGATGATGGTGAGGGTTATGATGATGATGATGGTGAGGGTTATGATGGTGATGATGATGGGGAGTGATGATGATGATGGTGGGGAGTGATGATGATGATGATGATGATGGTGAGGATGATGATGGTGAGGATGATGATGGTGAGGATGATGATGGTGAGGATGATGATGGTGAGGATGATGATGGTGAGGATGATGATGGTGAGGATGATGATGGTGAGGATGATGATGGTGAGGATGATGATGGTGAGGATGATGATGGTGAGGATGATGATGGTGAGGATGATGATGGTGAGGATGATGATGGTGAGGATGATGATGGTGAGGATGATGATGGTGAGGATGATGATGGTGAGGATGATGATGGTGAGGATGATGATGGTGAGGATGATGATGGTGAGGATGATGATGGTGAGGATGATGATGGTGAGGATGATGATGGTGAGGATGATGATGGTGAGGATGATGATGGTGAGGATGATGATGGTGAGGATGATGATGGTGAGGATGATGATGGTGAGGATGATGATGGTGAGGATGATGATGGTGAGGATGATGATGGTGAGGATGATGATGGTGAGGATGATGATGGTGAGGATGATGATGGTGAGGATGATGATGGTGAGGATGATGATGGTGAGGATGATGATGGTGAGGATGATGATGGTGAGGATGATGATGGTGAGGATGATGATGGTGAGGATGATGATGGTGAGGATGATGATGGTGAGGATGATGATGGTGAGGATGATGATGGTGAGGATGATGATGGTGAGGATGATGATGGTGAGGATGATGATGGTGAGGATGATGATGGTGAGGATGATGATGGTGAGGATGATGATGGTGAGGATGATGATGGTGAGGATGATGATGGTGAGGATGATGATGGTGAGGATGATGATGGTGAGGATGATGATGGTGAGGATGATGATGGTGAGGATGATGATGGTGAGGATGATGATGGTGAGGATGATGATGGTGAGGATGATGATGGTGAGGATGATGATGGTGAGGATGATGATGGTGAGGATGATGATGGTGAGGATGATGATGGTGAGGATGATGATGGTGAGGATGATGATGGTGAGGATGATGATGGTGAGGATGATGATGGTGAGGATGATGATGGTGAGGATGATGATGGTGAGGATGATGATGGTGAGGATGATGATGGTGAGGATGATGATGGTGAGGATGATGATGGTGAGGATGATGATGGTGAGGATGATGATGGTGAGGATGATGATGGTGAGGATGATGATGGTGAGGATGATGATGGTGAGGATGATGATGGTGAGGATGATGATGGTGAGGATGATGATGGTGAGGATGATGATGGTGAGGATGATGATGGTGAGGATGATGATGGTGAGGATGATGATGGTGAGGATGATGATGGTGAGGATGATGATGGTGAGGATGATGATGGTGAGGATGATGATGGTGAGGATGATGATGGTGAGGATGATGATGGTGAGGATGATGATGGTGAGGATGATGATGGTGAGGATGATGATGGTGAGGATGATGATGGTGAGGATGATGATGGTGAGGATGATGATGGTGAGGATGATGATGGTGAGGATGATGATGGTGAGGATGATGATGGTGAGGATGATGATGGTGAGGATGATGATGGTGGGGAGTGATGGAGATGATGATGGGGAGTGATGATGGTGATGGGGAGTGATTATGATGATGGTGGGGAGTGATGATGATGATGGTGAGGATGATGATGGTGGGGAGTGATTGACTCGATTTTTATGGTCTGAAACAAGATCACCAGAGATGCCCGGTGGGGTTGTCTTGTCTGGGGGAGGGGAACACGGCGAATGTTTCTCATTTTCATATCGAATACTATGTAACAACACTGAACTACAACAACGAGAACTACAAGTGCAATTCTACTCTCTGCAATCCAGGATCAACATGACACAGCAAACACAATGAAAGAAAAGTGGGGGAAGCATCACCTCTCTTCACACAGGGGTACCGGAACAGCTTCACAATCCCATAATCATCCGCCGTCACCAAAACTTGCCCAAGAAAGTTGGCGTCTACGGAATTGACGTCGTTCACCTCCGAGTATTTGGGTCCAATCCCATTAACTTCCAAACCGGTCACACACGTCCATCGGGTCCACTGCACCCCCTTCAACTCCTCCATATTGGTGATTTCCTTTCCCCCTGGAAACAAAATGGCATCCATCGTTATAGTCTGAAGCTCTGACATATACCGCAGTGCTGTACAGAGAACACTGATCCGGTCACATCAGTCTCTGCGCCAGAGGAGCTTACACTCTAATGTCCCCCCACAGTCACATCAGTCTCTGTACAGAGGAGCTTACACTCTAATGTCCCCTCCCCACAGTCACACCAGTCTCTGTACAGAGGAGCTTACACTCTAATGTCCCCTCCCCACAGTCACACCAGTCTCTGTACAGAGGAGCTTACACTCTAATGTCCCCTCCCCACAGTCACACCAGTCTCTGTACAGAGGAGCTTACACTCTAATGTCCCCTCCCCACAGTCACACCAGTCTCTGTACAGAGGAGCTTACACTCTAATGTCCCCTCCCCACAGTCACACCAGTCTCTGTACAGAGGAGCTTACACTCTAATGTCCCCTCCCCACAGTCACACCAGTCTCTGTACAGAGGAGCTTACACTCTAATGTCCCCTCCCCACAGTCACACCAGTCTCTGTACAGAGGAGCTTACACTCTAATGTCCCCTCCCCACAGTCACACCAGTCTCTGTACAGAGGAGCTTACACTCTAATGTCCCCTCCCCACAGTCACACCAGTCTCTGTACAGAGGAGCTTACACTCTAATGTCCCCTCCCCACAGTCACACCAGTCTCTGTACAGAGGAGCTTACACTCTAATGTCCCCTCCCCACAGTCACACCAGTCTCTGTACAGAGGAGCTTACACTCTAATGTCCCCTCCCCACAGTCACACCAGTCTCTGTACAGAGGAGCTTACACTCTAATGTCCCCTCCCCACAGTCACACCAGTCTCTGTACAGAGGAGCTTACACTCTAATGTCCCCTCCCCACAGTCACACCAGTCTCTGTACAGAGGAGCTTACACTCTAATGTCCCCTCCCCACAGTCACACCAGTCTCTGTACAGAGGAGCTTACACTCTAATGTCCCCTCCCCACAGTCACACCAGTCTCTGTACAGAGGAGCTTACACTCTAATGTCCCCTCCCCACAGTCACACCAGTCTCTGTACAGAGGAGCTTACACTCTAATGCCCCCACCCCTCCCACAGTCACATTAGAGGAGTTTTCCAATGTTCATTTGTATGATCTAGTGAGGATTTGGCGCCTCTCACCCGGCATCCTGTAGAACATCCTTTTCCCGCTGCCGTCGTTGGTCTGCAGGTATTTGCTGTCGGATGACCAGTCCATGTGTGTGATGAAGGACACGGAGCCCATACACTCGCCCACCTTCTTGTATCGCTGCACCACCCCGTAGATGTCCACACAGCTGTCATTGGAGCCCACCGCCAGGAAATTGCCATCCAGAGAATATTTCAGCTCATGAATGGCTTCCTTCCTGTCCTTGATATGTACCACCTCCGTCATGTCCCTGGAGAAAGAGAACATGCAGCCGGTTATATGAGGACGCAAATCGGTTTGTTATAATGGGGCTCATTCACAAAACGGGGGGGTCAGCTGCTGTTCCCTGCACCAGTCTTTCCCTATGTTCTGACATTTCATCTTCTGCATTTGTCTCACCTGTTTCTGGTTTAATAAGAGATCCCAGGAAAACATCTGCAAATATATGAGCAACGCATGATGACGCCTGTACACTGACAGCGACATCAATGGGATTAGAGTGAGAAAACCTGGGGGTGACCCCAAACTCCCCCCCCCCTACTGACACAAGAAGAGACACATATCATACTGACACAAGAAGAGACACAATCTGTATCATACTGACACAAGAAGAGACACAATCTGTATCATACTGACACAAGAAGAGACACAATCTGTATCATACTGACACAAGTAGAAACCTCCGCAGAGACACAATCTGTATCATACTGACACAAGAAGGGACACAATCTGTATCATACTGACACAAGCAGAGACACAATCTGTATCATACTGACACAAGAAGAGACACAATCTGTATCATACTGACACAAGAAGAGACACAATCTGTATCATACTGACACAAGAAGAGACACATATCATACTGACACAAGAAGAGACACAATCTGTATCATACTGACACAAGCAGAAACCTCCGCAGAGACACAATCAGTATCGAGGGAACCTTCAGCATGGCATCAGGTCTACCTGATAAGCAGTCTAATGGCCAAATTATTATTATTATTACATAGTATTTATATAGCGCCAACAGTTTGCGCAGCGCTTTACAATATAAGGAAGACATTACAATCGCAATACAATTCAAGACAAGATGGCAAGGAGGGCCCTGCCCCTGAGAGCCTCCAATCTAAAAGAGGAGGGGGAAATGATACATGAGGAAGTAGCTGCCAAATGAAGCAGCTTGCAGGGCAGGCTGACAACACTGCTACTAATTGCTGGGCAGAGGGTCAGAGTTGTCTCATACAGGAAGTTCTGTTCCAGCAAAATATCTTATTTAAGACTTTACAGGTTAAAAAACCCCCCATAAAACGATTTGTTTAAGGAATGCCGATCACAGTGGACACATAACTTTATATACAATAAGCCTCATAAACAGAGAGGCTTTCTGACATCGGCAACCCGCCTGCTGCTGCTCTCACAGCGATCTAGAGACTGTAAAATAATGACTTTAAAAAGTTATAAAAAAGATACAAAATATATTATTATTATTATTATCTGTTAGGTGTAAATTGCAGTTTGGAAAGTTTTGCATTTGACATCTGATAATAAATAGAAGAAGCAGCGTGGAATTTATTTCATACAATGTATATTTCTTCTTTACCATTGCAGTGATTCAGCGTTCCAGCAGCTCATAACCTTTCCTCCAAAAGCATCCAAGCGAGCTGCTGCCTCATTAACTCCTATGGGTACTATAAGTATGGGTATAGGTGGACCATACTTATGGTTGTCTCATGTGGGGGATGGGTCAGCGCATTGATCATGGGTGCAATGCTTTGCAGGCTTCCATGCAAACAATTACTAAATGCACATTGATCAGTGGTGCAGCATTTGCCGCTTGGTGGCAAAGGCGGGCTGCTCCTTTAACCGACAACTTGTTTTAAAGCAGAGTGCTCCTTAAACACCGCAAATAACCCGAGTCGGATTTTTTTTTTCTGCAGCCGCGGCGCGGTCATTGGTTATGCTGACGCGATGCGGTCGGATGAAACATTTTGACAGCCTAATTGAAAAGGCCCTTTCAGGAAAGTGGATTGTGAACTGTGATCATCTCATCTCCAAAATGGAGCCGAGCCAATTCACTAACGAGCCA